TTCATTTTTCTTCTCATTATTATTCACCTTCTCACTCTTCATTCAGCAGTTCTAGATCTTGTTTTTGTTTCCTCCTGATATTTTTCAGACAGCTAGTACTGTAGTATCTTGGATCATTAAATGCATTGAATCCTCTTTGCTCAAAAAATGCAACCTACTGTAGAGAAAAATTTCCATTCTTTTTATTACCTACTAATAATTGTAAAAAACAAAAACCTTGAAATGATTGTTTTATTTATTGGCTACTCCTTCTTTTGATATATTTTTGTAATAGGTTTGTGGGGGGGGGGGGGGGAAGAAAAAAATGTTCCTGATGTTCATGAAAATTCCAAAGTTTTTCACTAAAACTATTGATTTTTAGAAACAAACTGAAGTTTAGACACTCCTCTCTTGCTAGAAACAGAGCTCTACCTCAGATACCAATGCATCTTAACTGCAAGTTAAAATTTCTCACTGTCAGTAGTCATTTATAATTTCCTTTCATTACATTTTAAATATTTTTTTTATGTTAGTGCTGTTCACATTTCTTTAAAAAAAAAAAAAAAAAAAAAAAAGATTAAACAATGCCACCTAATTAGTATTGCTTGACTCAGCTTCTGAATGATAAAAGCCACCTCCTAAATACTGACCATTCATTTGAGAAGAATCGTCAGGGTGAAGGTCATTATATTTAGCCAGAATGGAATGCATGCGTTGGATATGCTCAAACATGCAGGAAAAAAGTGCTTCATGCCAGCAGTTCCTCTCAGAACCTTTATTTGATAGCACTGAATCTGGTACTCGGAACATATGAGCAAATCTTGTTAATACACAAATATCTCAAGAGCAGGAAATGAGTTGGCTGATAACCAAGAAGGCACAGAAAGAATATGGATTTCCCAGGGATTTTATATACAATACAGAAACAGTAACTGGAATGAGTTTGTTGCTGGAAAAACAGCTGGATGACAGAAGAAAACAACTCTGAAACAGTATCTGCAGCTGCTACCGGTCTAAGCTTTTGGCTCTCCCGACTTTCAGGATGAAGAGTCATTTTCCCAAATAATTGACGAGTAATAAACACTATAGAGAAGGTATGGAAATCCTAAAATATATTTTGTATTACTTTTTTTTGTTATCTCATAATAAATTGCACTTTTGTTAGATTCCATAAGAGTTCATATTTTCAGCTTGAAATAGAATTTATTTCTTGCGTGCAGATAACAGCTAATTCATCATGACTATATACAAGAACTGCACTGATAGTAATTCTTCCTATTTTATGTTGGCTCATGACATCAGTAGTGGATGTTGATGGTATGGCAGTAGAGATTGAGCCCTTCCATCAGTATGCTGTTACATTATTTTGCTGTGAGACAGATGACAGCAGAGGGGCACTCTGACAGAATGATGTCTGACTTGAAAGTGCAGATGAAGTAAAGGTGTGTCATTGAATTCCTTCAAGTGGAAAAAATGGCTCCTACTGACATTCATCAGTGTTTGCTGAATGATTATGGAGACTAAACAGTGGATGTGAGCACATGGATGGGGCTGGGTGGTGCATTTCAGCAGTAGCGTGAGTGGCTCACCTCTGCATGTGCAGATTTTTCTAAGGGTTGCATGCAGGCTCTTGTTTACTGCTCGTGAAAATGGATAATTACTGGTAGTATGTTGAAAATAGTTCTTTATAGCTGAGAACTTGCTCTACTGAGTAGTTTTACCAAATAAATGGGAGGCATTACTTTCAGAGCAATCTATATACTTATAAACACATCTCATTTAGTTTATGACTATGTTTTGGCATATTCAGTCTTACCATCTGTTTTTAAACTTCAGCTACCATGTACTGAAAGAGAAAGTTTACCAATGAGTATCAGGTAGTTTAAATGATAATGATAATTCCATCATATTACCAAGTTAATATCGGTTGAGAAGGCTTTGGTATAATTAAATTGAAAGAGGATGTGGTACCTGGAAACTCTTTGAATGTTGTTGTTTTTTCTTTAAAGCAGTACAACTTCTCCCAGTAAATTATTTCAAAGTAAAGGATGTGATTCAAATGAAAGGGATGAATACGAAAAAGCATTTAACAGCTTCTGATCAAAAAATTACAGGAAAAATAAGCGCAATTAATGAGTGTTCAGATGTTTAGAACTGTCATGTTCAGTAGACAAGTCTGAAGTGTGTGCAATAAAATAAAAGCATGCACCGAGACACTTTTCTCTACGTTTCAAATGTTCCCACAAGAAATTTCAATGATAGTTTTCTTTTTTTTCCCCCCATTCCTTTTTTCCCCATATATTTTCAACAGTTTGCCTGAGAAATTCAGAAATTTTGGAGAGACTGCAATATACGTTAAAAGAAAAAACAGAAAATTCAATTTAAAAAAAAAAAATAAATTCAGTGAACCATGCAAAAAGAAACTAAAAAAGGTAAAATAATAAGTCAGCGAAAGAGTCTCATTTAGTCAAGTATTGATCAATGGAATCTGGCCATAGATTAATATAAAATTTACTGTTGCTAATTATTCTGTTTTAAAAGAATATTTCTTCCATTTTAGGAATTAATTTCTTAATATGAGCATAAGCAGGTATGATTGTCAGAGCTATAGCTTTATTCTTAATCTTTCAGTTATGTGCTTAGCTTGTATAGTGGCTATATAAACCTTTATATCTAGTAAGAAAATAATTCAGCGTAAAATCCATTAGAATGAAATGACTGTGTTCAGGACATGATACTATCCCTTTTTCATGATTTCTACAAGGCTACTGGGTAGAATACTTAACTCAAATCTCCTCAGGTCAATTTCTTTCTTTAATACTAACCCACAGCTATGAACATGTATTATTAGAGAAATGAAGTAATGGAAAATCATCCTGATGTGAAAGCATATTAGAAATCGTAAGTGAATAGGCTTGGGGCACTTGAATAACAAAGTGCAATACTGAAAGATGGCAACAATTCAGCTTCTTTAAGGCTTGTAGCTTACCTGGATTTGTGTTCAGTTAATTCTATCTGACTACACAGGTTTAACTTGATGTTGCTGCAGAGATTTGTCACCAGATACTGTATTGCAAATATGGTTTTTAGTGTATTTATTATAAATGGTAGAAAGAGTAAGAACTTATAATTTAATGATAATTTAGTTGTACTGATGTAAACTGTATACATGTGAGCAGATTTGAACAACTAATCATAGCTAATATTTAGCAAATATATTTTAAAAATTCTTCTTGAAGTTCTCTAGGGATTGTTTGGAACCTTATCTGGGTTTTGAGAACTGCAACATCTGTTATATGTGCTGAATCCAAAATAGTATGAAAATATCCAAGTGTTTATAATACAAACATGAAACTTGTCTTCAATTTCTTTTTCAGATGATTAATAAAACTGATTTTATTTAAAAACAACAGTAAAAGAGATGAGAGCAGTAATGCTACAGTAAATTCAGAAAATCAGCAAAAAAGATCGTGAGCTATAGATTAAAACAAAATCAACTTTCAATCATCTTGCAAGTCTTAAAATGTCTTATTGAAGTGACAGTATTGTATGAAAACACTAAATAAGGACGTATAAGTAAACTATATCAAATTTATTGGCCAATACTATTGTTGTATTGAATATTAAAAAAATTTCTTCTTGCACAAAATCTAAATGAAAAATACAGTGAGTCATCTGAAGTGTTTTTTCATCCAGTGGTTTTGATACCTTTGGATAAATCGGTGTGAAATCAGATATGCTCAGAAAACTGTTTAATAAAATTGATCTTAGATTCTAAGGAAATTTCACTTGCCTGGAAATTGTGTTTTCTGAGACCTGTTTAGCAAATTTCACTAAAGAGGATATAATGAAAGTACTTGTGACATGAAATCCTGCCAGAGAACCACAGCAACTTGCTTTGTTATTTATGAGAATCTTGCAGGCCAGAGGGCAGGCTAGTTTTGCCTATGGATTGGCTTGTATTGGATTGCATAGATGATGATTTAAGGAAAAAAAACAATAATGGAATTAATCTGTCCAAGGGTTAGTTAATGCACAAAGCATACAAGTTTAATATTGCAACTTGGAAGGACTTTTATACATGGCAAATAGTAGGTAATTTTTGTAATGTTAAAAATTTGGTTCTGATCTTTGTGAAATTTAGCTTTATTCAGCTTTATTATTTTCTTCTTCTATCACAAAGATTTTATGAAGCCATGAAAGGATAATAGTTTTCTCTGCATTTACTATAATATCTTGTTAAAGAAATACTGAAGTCGCTATAAAGCAGGGATTGTAATACATTGTACTATCCTTCTGGTTGTCATGTCACTACTGCATCAAATTGCGTTGCACCAGGCTCATTATTGAAATGAGTTGCATGTTCTATAATAATAATAATTGTACTTTGGTTTTTCTAGAGCTTTTGTTGAACACATTAGAACAAAATGTATTAATTGCCTGATGATCTTGTTAACTTTTGCCTTTATCTGTGTAATCTAAATCCCAAAAAGCTATTTTTCAAAGAGAAAATAGCATACCAATATTTTTCCTATAATATTCAGAGTATGATAAGAATTATTTGATTTATCATAATAGCTCTTCTGTGTTAATATCACTGTAAGTGTTCTCAGCCAAACTATGGTTTTATTTAAATGCAGGTAAACATAGAAGGAACCTTGATGTCTTGTGCAGTTTCTGGAAAATTGAGAATGTTCTTACAAACAAAGCTCAGGTGAATCATCGGCTCTGTGCCTCTGCCTTACAAAACATTGAATTCATGAATGTGGCTCTGAAAGCATCTTGGCCTACAATGTCAAGGCTTTTTTTTCCCCACAGAGATAGCTCTACAGGAATAGGCACTTGTACTTCACCATTGAGTGTATATTTGTTAATTTGAGTATTCCTTCATTTTATGCTTACGTCCTTACTAGTCTATGCTTTTAGACTGTTATATTTGTTATGTTTATGTACAGCATAACATTGTTAATGCTGTAACAATCAGATGCTAATTTTCATTTAGATCTGTAGGGAAAGAAAAACCCAACGAAAACAACGTCCAAAAAAACTCTACATGGAAAAGAACAGAAAATACTGTGCATGATCTGGCTCAGATTTACCAGAATTCAGTGAAGCTGAACAAAGAAGGGGAAGGAGAAATGTCTTCTGTTTCATTTGAAAAACAAACAAACAAACAAAAAGATTCTGTAGAGTGAAATTACCTGAAGACTGGATCAGTATCTAAGCAAACTGCCAAGTCTCCAAGACCAGAACGTGGGCACGTGGCAGGAGCTGTAGTCTGCTTTAGTCTGCTTCTACAGTAAGTATCCTGTGAGTTAATGTATTTGTGAATCTATATCGTGTTGTGATAATTGGGAAAACTAGTAGAAGCAGGAATTTTACTGAACGTACTGAGAGATGTACATATAGCACAGCTGCACACCAATCGCTAGTGCTGCTCATTAGTTTTCAGGTAGCAGAGGCAGGGCAGTGGGAACGTTCTCAGTAAGAATCTGTGAAAAATGCAAGAATATCATGGAAAAATTAGCCAAAGATGGAAAACACTGCTGTCATAGGGAATGCCATCGCATTGCCTTGCCTACTTTTCATTAGGAGCTGCTGGGTTGGCGTTGTTTGATGAGGATGGCTTCTAGGCACAAGGCATGTTTGTAGTGTGTGCAGGACAGTATGAGATTTTTTGACAGCTGGTCCTTTTCTTTTATCAAAAATTTTCTTTGAGTTTCAGACAAACATACAAACAATCCTGCTACTAAGTTTCAAATTAGGTTTCAGTCCCTCCTGAAAAATCATCCTTTCTCCAGTTCTATTGCTTTACTATTGCAAATGACTCACAAATGCTTTCTGAAATTTCATTAAAATGTGGGAGGAATTGTAAGATTATTTTGTATCTTAGGTAAGACAAAAATTGTTATAGTGCATTAAAGGAACCTCCTTTGCCATCTGCGCAGTTTGACACTTCTGTGCAGTCTGATGCTTCATGTAGCTAATTTTTCTGCAGTGAAGTGTTTAAACAGTTGAGTTAAATTCTGTTCAATGCCTGAACTTCTATTCCATGTGATGTTATTTCTCCACCGTGTCCTTTTTAGATTGTGTAAGTCGGTTTATCAAAAAGGACAATGGAAAGACATTTTATACAGTGGATATTTGGTATGCAACAGTAGTCATATAGACTAAATGCTGCATAATTCAAATTATATGTTTAGTCACAGGATGTTTCTAATTGAGATGAACAGAATGCGATGTACTCCCATTGCTAAACAAGTGACAGACATAAACACTGTTTGAATTGCGAGAGAAATATGAAAGATAGTGAGGTGGAATAATAATACAACACTCCAATCCTTAACAGACAGATTGCCGTAGTCATTGCCTGCCCCAAAGACTAGCTAAAGAGTGTGGAGGGTGAGGCAAGAATAACATTATTAAAGCTTTAACTTGGCTTATATTCTTTCAAAGGGGATAGTACAGGCTTATACTTGATAGTAACAAGTAACTGTATACTATTTCTCATGTTTTCAGATAAAGCCTATGAAATGTACTGTCTGTACTACAGGAGCAATGCTTGCACTGCAAAGGAACCAATAAACACAAAGAGAAAAGTGAAATGGTAGGATGCAAACAAGTAATTGAATGGCAATTTCCAGCTACTTGTAAGTTTTAGTAAATGCCCTAACAGATTGATGAAATGTGAACAAAAACAGTACAAAATGGGCGATATTTATCTTGTCCAAAAGCTTACTGTGTTTTTCCCTACTTCTTTTCTTTTCCCCTTCAGATGAAAATGTTTTGAAAGAATAAAATTATTGCTAACAGTGTGTTTAGGAAATCCCATAGGGACTTTTATGGGAGCTAGATGGCTATCTGAGATTTGGGGACTGGCATGGAAATTTGTGCTTCTATTTTTGATGATTTTCTGCTGTTTGGAAAAAAAATAATCCTCAAGGACTCAAAAGAAGTTAGTTCCACTGATTTCCCTTCCAAATATTCTCTAGGCAGTACTTATCCTACAGGTAGTTGTACAAATCTTTTTTCTCTCTTTGATCATTTTCTAGAACGTGTTTTTGCTATTGGTTTCTCTACAGGGTTTTGTTGCTGCTGTTGGTTTTGTTCTTTCTCACCTCCTCATCCAGCACTACCAAGCAACATATTTGTCTAGCATGTCTTGCTTGAAGTGAAATCTGCTACAATTTCCATTATCTACTTCTAATGTGAGTTGAGCAGTTTGTTATAACTATCCTGAAAATAGCTACTGAGCTACTTTATGTTAAATTGGTGCATCAGGTAAAAACTGATCTTTGTGTGGTCTTCAAGTGCATTTCTCTTCTGTTAACTTCCGTGAGGCCTGGGTGTAATATTACTAAAATCAGCATCATCTTTGGAAATTCATCCACTGATCTCTTCAATCCACTGATTGTGAGATTTAGCTTTTGGTATGCTTGTTATATTTGTTAGAAAATTGGATTTTTTTTCCTTAGTGTTTCTATTTCATTTAATTCAAGCTCTCTCCATAAAGCTTCTGAAGTATAAGAACAATTGCTTCTGTTCCAAGGCTATTTACAATGGTTTGAAGGGCCTCCAGGGCATCGTACGGAGATGGCTGTAAATCCTCGCTTTTGTAGGAATCAGAAAATTTGCTATACTTCCCAAATAAAATAAAATCCCAGAACTATGTTGAGCCTTTGAGCTTAGACATCCTTTTTTTTTTTTTTTTTTTTTTTAATCATATTAAGACCACAGTAGCAGAGAAAGAAGTCAGCAGTAATAATCTTGTTGCTTCCATTAACACATAGTTTAGGTTTTCTGCTTGCCATGTAAATTTCAGACTTGGGGACCCCATTGAGTCCTTAGCATTTTTAGATCACAAGCTATTTATTTCTAATAATCTCTTTTCTTGTTTAATATTGATAAGACAGCTTATTGCTTATTTAATTTTTACATTTGAAGGACTAAAGGGAAACAAAATTTCTGAAATGGTGATGAGGCAACATGGGATTATGGCAGTGTATGTACAACCCATTGTATGGCAAGAAAAGTGTATGCTTATTTGGCACAGCATTAAAAGACAGTGTTTTGCTGAGGTACACCTACACCTCAGTACCTACACATGGGTTTTTCATGGGCTAGGAGAATGTGATGCTTTACTACACTTGAAGTGAAAGCCACGGTGAAGTGGCTCAAGTAAATTTCATTAATCTCTTTTCACCTATATGGAGATGAAGTATGTCAGAATTCTTTACTGATTTTTTTTTTTTTTTTTTTTTTTTTTTCTTTCACTGTAATACTTCAAGCTAATGAGAAGCTAATGGAAAAGAATGTCAGCCTCTGCATTTGATTGATAAATAACACAGCATTTTACCACTACAAGATCATCAAAATCTGTTCTCATGCTGAAAATAAAATCTTGGAGTATATTTGAATCAGGTCTTCAAAAAAAAAAAAAAAAATAAATTACAGAGAATATCACAGTGGTTGCAACAGATGTGTTTTTTCCTAAGTGATGGGTGCTTTGGAGGTCACCTTGCTTAAAGTTCTATAAATGTGGTGTTTTGTTTTTTTTTTTTAGACAAAACAAAAACTATTTGAGACAGAATCGAAAACTGGCTAGGGAGGGAAACAATTGTTTTCTGATGAATCATAATCTCTCAATACAGTATTTTACAGGAATTTATATATAGAGAAGAACAGTAGGGTGCTTCGTGAAATTATTGTGACAGCTGAAATCAAAATAGCAATAACTTTGAGCAACATATTTTTACAAAATATTTCTTAATTTCAGAGCTATGTGAACATACTGAAACAGTGAAACAGTCTCATAACTTTTAATACGTAATCGGTGAACTGTTTTAAGTCAGTACATTTGGCACCTCCTTTCTTGTTTACAGAGAGATTACCTCTAATTAGAGACAGCTTAATTAAACAGCCTAATTATCATTAGGGTTTTGTCAAAGATTTGTATCGCACAGTTTTTACTGTGCGCTTATTATTGCCAAGTCATAGATTATTCCTTTTTCTTTTGTGATCCTAGGATTATGAACAAAACCACTGGAAATTTATATGAAAATAGAGGAGAAAAATGATTTTACACCGTTCCAATTACTCAGGTTAATGTTGTGCATTACAATGCAGACTGAGACAAGAACCATGCACTCCTAAATAAAAGGTTTTTCCTTGTAAATGATGATGTGCTGGTGGTGGTTTTGTCTAAGCCAGAAGTGAAAGGAAAAAGGTAATGACTTGTTTAAAAAATGCTGATCCTGACAGGAGGCTGTTATTTTATATCCTGATTTATAAAAACAATGAAGAGAATTGTCTTATTTCTTGTAACATGAAGTTGCCTAAAGCACATTCATCTGATTTTTCTTAATGCTATCTGATACTCGGTATCAGTCACTGATCCACCCGGTTTGTACTGAGTGGTGAGTTTGCTGATGTTCAGAATAGGCAGCTGCTGCTGGTACAGGGGAAAAATGTTATGCAGAATATTGATCCTGTTTTATATTTGAACACAGAATTAAGTCGTTTTGTTTAAGCATGAATTACGAATGTTTACCTTGGAGCCCTGTGTAATTTCAATTAAAACACAAAGTCATGCCTTTGAACTTCTGTTGTGAGTTCTACCTCTGAGTAATATAAAATTAAATCTCAAAATTACAATTCCTGTGAACAGCAGTTTGTTTTGCTCTGTTGCTAATCTTGACAAACACACTGCAGGTTAGTCCCCTTTATTCTTCCGTCTGATCTTCTTAGAATTCATTCTGTGATCAGTTTTGGTCATGTTTCAGCATCTAGCTAATTCTGACTAGCATTACAATCCAATACAATAAAAGCAGTTTAATCGGAAATTGCAAATGAACCTTAACCAAATCTAGTGTAATCAGCTATTTTGCTGACACTGCTTCAGCAGAAGGATTGTCAGGCACAGAATGAATTAGCTATATGTATGAATGGCTTTAGAACATGTTTGATAATGATTTAGAGGAGAATTTGCATGAACAGCTGTTAAAACTTAATTAAAAATATAAACCCTGTAGGATGCTTCTAGGGTTGAACAATCTTTGCTAAATTTAATGGTGAAGAAGTCTGTCCTCAACTAATCCTTTCTACTTTCTCAGCTTATCATAAGAATAGTCTTGCATTGATTATGTATACAGTGGTTATAGGTTCTCAACATCATTATAGTTTTACAGTAAATCTAATCACTAGACTTCCATGGTTCAGCCCTTCATTATGTTTTTTTAAAGGGTTGACAAGTTTACTTTGTCATGGAGCATCTTCTCCTAATTAAAAACTGCTTAGCACTGATGATCCATTACAATAATCATATGTTTTACGATGCTTCGCGCCTGAGTTCATTTTATACAGCAGACTTGAAAGCCAAGAAATAGAATGTCAAGTGTTAAAGAAACCCGACAATCTAGAATGATAGGTTTGTTTGATAAGCAACAGATAATGAGTCTGGGTAAAAAAAAAAAATTGCCTCAAATAATAAGAATAAGAAGATACCTCAGATAGTAGGCTATGAAAGTAATTTCCTTTTCTTCTGTCAATCTAAAGAAATGAATACGAATTCCTTAGTAATATTTATGTTTTAGATAAGACTATTAATCCATCCACCAGTAGTTCTGAACTTGGGCTGCCAAAGTAAAATAACAAAAGGAAAATGCTCTGTGCAGATGAAATCTTGTTGCATTTATGCCAGAATTCCCAAGGTCTTCATTAAATCCATGTGTAGGTTAACCTTATTGTATCAAGCTTAGCTAAACATATAGACAAGGATACCTTTCAGTCTTGTGTTCTCTCTGGAGTTGGCATAGAAAGGGAAGCAGAATGCAGAGGAACAGGCTACACATGCTTATGTGAAACATTAATGAAAGTCAAAACAAATTGCACCAAACTGTCCATTAAAATATTGATTGCCTCCTTCTGCCCCTGTCATTACTATTCCAAAAAGTTCATCATAAAGTCCCTGAAAATAGAATTTTAACATTGGCAGCGTTTTAATGAAATGAAGAATACATTTTTTACATATAAGAATGTTAATAAATGGACATTTTAATGGAATTACAAAAAAATTAAAATAGAGTAACATTAAGTAATAAGCAGCCTTTTCCAAAGAAAAGATTGCTTATCTATTTTTATACCAAAATCGGTTTAGATTCTGAAGGTATTCTACACAATTTTAAGCAGAAAGTGTTCCAACTGTGAAAAGGGATTTCAAAATGCACACAAAGTGAAATCCAGAATTGATCAAAAGAGCTGCATTAGACCAAAAACTCAAAGAGAACTACTTAATTCTTCATTTATTTAGTGCTTGTTTGTAATATGTATATTTTTTTCCTGGAATTTGATTCTTTAGTGCTCTTCTGTAGTTTCTCTGAGGTTTTTCTCATGGTCTGTAGCACCTATGGTTTTATATTTGTGCCTTGATTTTTCTTAGTGTTGTGTCTCAGCTTTTTTCATTGTTGTTTGCCTCACAAATCTTCAAGAAACAGTTTCTAGTGAAATACCTAAACCTACATGTTCTCCATAAACACTGTGTCCATAAATGACAAACCTGTCCTACCAGCTACCTATTATACCACAAAACAAATAATTCCTTCTCTACTGAGCACAGAGCAACTGATTAGCCTCCTGCTCTCCACACACACATTTGCAATGAAATTTGACACAACTGGCAGCAATATTAACTGGTATGTTATTAACATGTAGTATAAATTGTACTGTTGAAATGTAGTATAGAAAAGACAGCAAGTGGATTCTGATTGACTCACCCACTTAAGCTACTAAAATTTGTGGGAATTTTTTTCCTTATCTTTAAATTTCATTTTGCTAGGTAATGAAACTTTGGTCTTTGTTTCTTCCTTACACACTGCAGTCCAATTTCTTTGAGATTTTAAATATCTCCTGCTAATAATAGTGAACAGATATTTTTTTTTTTTCCACATCTGTAGTATTTATAACAGAATGTTTTTATCTCAGTCTGTCATGCTTATTCTGCAGCAGCAGAACTGATAATTAGGCAGACAGTCCACACTGCTACTGCATGATTCTAAAGAGGTAGTTTACTGAAATTTTTTAAGGCATTACTGAATTCAGAAATGATTTTTCAAACATTGCTATTTATTAGCTTTTCAAAAGTTGAAGTTTTCTCTGAAGTGAATAACTGTATTTGTTTTCTTAGTATTTTGGTTTAATCATAGATC